ACATGGCATGGGCTGACTCATTGCGCTGAGAGTTTTCATCAGGTCTTTGTGGAAGCGCTGGATCGATGCTTCGAGAATGTGTGCGAGCTTGACCTCATCTTTCATTTCGACGAAGTGAGTGTATGCGAATGATGGAGCTCTTCTTGCCCATCCTTACCCCCATCCTACTTTCCTCTCTCTTCGTCCGCATCCCAACTCTTCAGGTTCATGCCATCTTGTCCGAGATCATCCAAGGCGGTCTAGTGCTGGACACTTCTCTAGAGTCCATTTGTGCGAATGCTAGCGCGAGTGCGCGAGCGAGAAAAAAGAGCGCAGCGCAAAGCTCGGCCGTAGCTGCTGCTCTACCTGGTTTGGCGGATTGGATAGCTCCTGGAGGCGCAGCCTCTGGTACGTGGGGAGATAGTTGGAGAAGAGAGATATCTAGGTTTACGCAATAGGCTGGCATTAGTCTTTGGTGCTGGCTGCCAAAAAAAAACTCAAGAAAGACGCAATGCAATGCGACAATTGCCTTTTTGTCGAATAGAGACTTTGCTCACTTTGCTCACTGTCAATACGCTCTCATTGCCCAGAAGAGTGCTTCTGTTCTGCGTTGGAGCACCTCGACCAGCTGCAGATCGTTGGACATGATCACTGGATGTTATGCGGGCTTAGTAGCCGATCCAATCTACGCTTAAACTCGCTTAGGCATGTCATCAGCTCCTCGTCGATCATGAGCGGAATTTGCACGGCTGGCAGTGTGAGGGATGCTTCACCCCAGTGAAGGAGCCAGCGCCCTCTGTCCCTCTCCATTTTCGGTTGCTCGCAAGAATCGCTCGAGCCAGGCTCTGGTTGCGCAATGCAAAATCATTGCGCTGCGCCTGCTTCCTGCATTCTGAAAAAGCGCATGCACACATTACACATTCACTCACTTGCCGGTACTACTCTGACTGCAAGTCTGGTGTGCGTTGTGCTGAGCTGAATGAAGCAAGATCATACTTGCCCTCGACTCGACACGAGTCGTCAATCGTGCATGGGTATTGTGTTCAACTACCATCACACAACGATCTGGCTGTCATGGCCTCGCCGTGTATCTCGAGTCTGTCCGATGAACCCTTTTGACCGCGCACGGGTAAGCCAGCAGACAGGTACCTCTCACAATCAGTCACGAGTGAACCTTGAGTAGTCACTGAGTAGGTAGGAGGTGGTCGCCACGCTCGATCGAATTGCACGTGTGACTGCAGCACCAGCAGCATAACTCCTGCCCTCGCACGCGCGCGAGGCTGCCACGCTGCCCTCTGCTGCACAGGACTCGCCGGCGGCGGAGATGAAGGTGGAGCAACAGCTGGGCCGCATGGACGGAAGGGACGGCACTTGCCGCTGGGCTGGAGTCAAGCTCTGCTTCAGCGTGCCCTACATCACGGATGGGACCGCCCTCCAGCCTCCACAATCAGTCAATCAATCACTTGATCACGAATCGAATCGTGAATCAGTGAATGGATTCGTACCGGCACTGTACATGCCACCTCCACTTTGAGGAGCGAGCGAGCACGCCATGCATGCGTTGACCTGACCGTCCGTCGTTCCGTTGCATGGCGTTACAACCTCAAATTGACGATTAGGTACTCACTCACTCGAGCGGCTCAAGCAGCGCATGACTTTAGACCCGTGGTGGTGTTGTGTATATGTAGCAGATATATGTACATGTTGCTTGCTTGCCCACTGCACGTCCTCGGCTTGATAGCAGATAGCACACATCCCACAAGCATCCACATTTTTGTGCACCTCGATCGATCGCTCGCTCGCTCGCTCGCTCGCTCAGCTTCCCAACTCGGCGTCCTTTGACTTGCCACCTCGACGTTTACATTCATAACCCACCCACCTTTGCCTCATCATGCCAGCCATCCAGTCGGGCAAAGTGCTAGTGACGGGCGCAAGCGGCTATGCGGGAGCATGGCTATGTCTAGCCCTGCTTCGTCAAGGCTTTTCCGTGCGCGGGACAGTCCGCTCAACAGAAAAGGGTCATTACCTCCAACAATTGTTCCACAGTCAGCAACAACAATTTGCAAAGGACAAATTCGAGTTTGTCATTGCGGAGGATTTGGAGAAAGAGGGGGCTTTCGATCAGGCAGTCGTCGGTGTGGATGCTGTGTTTCACTCGGTACGTCTCTTCTCTCTTGTCCAGCTCTTCCTCGCCCTCGAGGAGAATGTGAATTGACTATGCAAAACAAAA